GGCAGGGCGGCCTGGGCGGTGGGGGCGGGGCGAGCGGGCGGCACCGCCTGGAGGCCCGGAGCGCGGGCCCGGCCTCTCCTTCATTTACGGGAGAGGGAAGTGTCTGTGGGTCGAAGTCGGGATGAAACTTGGCGCATGGTGGCGGGGAAGACGCGGGCGAGCGCGGCGATGCCCACCTGCAAGGGCGCCCGCAAGGCGGCCGCGCCCCTGACAGCCGCGTACGGGGTGTGCGCCGCGGAGCCCCGAGGCCCTGAGCGCCCGGGCGCGACGTGGGCGGGGGAGCCGAGGGTGAGGGACCGGGTGTCCTCGGAGGCTCAGCGGAAGTGCTGCCCTCCCGACAGCGGTGAGAGCGCCCTGGGCTCGTGCCCCGCGGCGGCAGGCTAGAAGCGCTGATCTCTGACCTTGCAGGTGGAGGTCTAGGAAGGGAGACCCGGCTGGCAGGAATCGGGGCTGCGCTGGGAGGGGCGCGCGGGCGGGGGCCGTCTACTCTTAGGTGACCTAGCGCTGCGGGGTAGGGCGGACACGGTGGCCGCCCCAGTCTGGGTCCCAGCTCTGCTTGAGGGTGGGAGTAGGAAGAGGAGTTTGGAGCCATAGCTTTACACTCGGAGAAGCTTCATGCAGCGGAGGGGGCTTGGTGACTACATCGGCCTCAGGTCGAAACCATGTAACTATCTGTAACCTCTCGGAGCCTTCGTTTCCTCTTCAGTAAAATGGGGGTAATGACTGATAGACTGGACCTTTTAAAGGATACCCAAAAAAGGATTAATAAATTTGAAAATGCCTGACAAGTGGGAAGTGTTCTGTAAATACTGGTTATGAACTATTACAATTTTTTGGCAGAGAATACTTTCTAGGTTCCTCGTAGGCCTAAAGTTTTTGCGTTAAATGTAATTTTGATTTTTGTCAATTATAAATCATTCCTGCCTTAAAAATCAGTGTTAAATTGGCAAACCAAAAAGTGGGCTTGCCTTGACCATTTTTTTGTTTGTTTTTTGTCATCAACAGTAAAGCAGATTTGTGTGTTTTGGAATAGTTTTGTTGCTTCTTCCTCTGAATGTGTGAAATTTGTTTGGTTCTATCACTGTGGAACTAAGTAAAGGCCCCTCTTAACTATTCAGTCACTGGTTTTTTGGTTTTACTTTCTCAAACAGATGTCCTTCATAATACCTATGAAGGACATCTCTGGAGAAAGGGCTGTTGTTTGTTTGTTTTGTTTATTTGATGATTCGTTTTAGCTGGAAGGGAGCCCCAGGGGCTTTCTGTTAAACCAGCATTACCCAGTGGACAATGCTAGAAACCGTTTCTAGCCTCTCCATGTGACAGCCAGCCAGCTTCTCAGGTAGTAACTGTTGTGATCACTCTCTCAACAAGCATTTGGTAAGCTTTCACTGTTGTGTTTCCCGAGAGAAGCCTTTGAGCAGCAAGACACTGTGAAGGGTAAGAGCTCAGACCATGCAGCCAGGTGGCCCAAGCTCCCCTCCTGGCACCGTGGACCCTTGGGCACCTGTCTGACTTCTTTGAGCCTCAGCTTTCTTATCTGAAGAATGCTCTCGGGAGGCGAAAACAAGATAGTCTACGTAAAGCACTCAAAATAGTATCTTACCTGTGATGTACACTCAGTAAGTGCCAGGTATTAGTAGTGGTGGTGTAGGAAACAAATAGTATGGTGATTCCTGTGATAGAGGTTTGTTCCTGGGTTTGGTGGGTGGAAGGAAGCTTTGGGGAGGAAGAAGTGGCCAAGCTAGGCTGTGAAGCATGAGTGGGAGTTAGCTAAACCAGCTAGGAGTGCCATTTGGGGTGTTCCTACAGTTAATGGAGGAGTCTTGACCAAAGCCCCTAAGGCGAGAAGGCCTTGTGGTACCCACCTGTTTTGTAAACAGAGGCAGATAAGAGTAACCTCAAGGTGACACAGTGGAGACTGGATTTTTTTTATCCTCCACACTGGTGAAGGAAGGAGAAAGTTTTTAAGCTGAGCACAGATGGCATCAGATTAGCTGTTTGGAAAGATTGTGCCTGTAGTGGTGTGGGATTAAAAGTAGGGAAGGCCCAGCCACTTGTCCTGGCAGCTTTGTGACTCCAAAAGGAAAATGACTGCTTAGCAGGGGCAGGCATTTTAATCCAAATCTGGAAGCCTAAAGAGCACTTTGAGAAGGCATGAAGAAACCAGATCATTCCAGACAACCTTCTCTCTTAAAAAGCATCTTCAAGGATGTACTGTATTTGCCTGACTACCAGGCAGGATTCCCCCCAAAGTATCCCTCTGAAAAGAGGGTGGTGCCACATGTTTAAGTCTCTCCTATTACAGGCACTGTAATTACTCTTTCCAACAACAAGATGCCATTTGGGAAATATATATTGGACTGAAACGATCTCAGTCATTGCTAGTTCGGGATATTTATACGACCAGTATATCAACAGTAAGTGATAAATTTTAAAAGTTCTGCCACCTGAATGGGTATTGATGGCTTGCATTGAGATTTCCAGCGAGAGGATCAAGTGCTGTATCATAGATGATTTGGTAGGAGCGAAGGTGGTGTGTTCTGGAAAATGGAATTTGATGATTCAGAGTGGCTTAAGTGACTACAGAGACGCTGGTGTTGAAGATGTAAGTGGATAGTTGGCGTAAAATTGTTTCATGAATTAATGTGTTGCCTTCTATATTTTAAAATACATGGAAGTTAATAAATTAAAGATTATAAGCAGACATTTGACTAATTGATCTACAGTCCTAAAGGTTTTTTTTCTAGTTTAAGTTAACCAGAAATTTTTCTTTTTTAATTTTCTCATTGCAGGGGTAAAGTTGTCTTAGGTTCGAGCTTGCCTTTTATGTGAACGTTTTACAGAAAGTAACTGCTGCTCTGTTTGTCTACTGAAACAAATTCCTTTTTCCCGTCTCATTTTTTAACATTAAGAAGGTTTCCAGAATGTTGTGTACTGGCAAGTTTTAGAAAACACTACAGAAAACTCCCATTCATAAATCTTTGTTTAGCAGTCAAATAAGATGTCTTTCTGGTAAGATGTATGTAAATGTATATGTATCTTAGTAACGTTAGAGTGCTTGATAGTAATAAAAAGGTAGCTCCATTTTTACTAACAAAATACTAATTTTTGGAGATTTGGCAATTTAGGAATCAGAAGTGTTTTGCAAGACTTTGTGCATTGCCATTTTTGAGTCAAGGCGCTGCTGCTTTAGTTTCACAAAGTAATGCCATGCTCTGGAACTGTGTTGTCCAATACAGAAAGCACGGGCCATGTGTGGTTGCTTACATTTAACTTAATGAAAATTAAAAATTCAATTCTTCAGCTGCGTTAGCCACATTTTAATTGCTAGATAGCCCTTTGTGGCTGGTGGCTACCACACTGAACAGTGCAGACCTAGAACATTTCCTTCATTGCAGGAAGTCCTATGGGCAGTACTACTCTAGAATAGAAAGTGATCCGGCTGCTCTGTGAGACACACACACATAAAGGATTCAGTGTCATTAAAGCATCTCCAAAACCTCACTTGCTGCATTTGAATTCCATTTCAGGGAGAATGATAAACATAGGATACCATATCCCCCTTATCCTGAGAGCACAACATCCTGTTTCTTCTGTCTACAGTGGCTGTAAATGGAGCCCACGTGAAAGGTGTTCTTTATGACGTAAGACACGGTAAATGTAGGTAGCCGTTCTATAAATTGTGCTTCCACGTTAACAAGGTTTTGTTCCATGTTCTTCCATGTTAACAAGGTTTTGTATAGAAATGATTTTTCTGAGCCCTAAAATAGTTTTGAAGTAAGCATCAAATATTTGTGGCTTTCTTGGTTCATAAAAATCCAGAGAAATCATGTGCCTAAAGTAAACCGTCAAGAATTCCAAGCAGAAGCTAGATGACACTCACTTTACTTTTAATGTGAATTTCAAAGATAAAAGCCCTGTTCTAGGGAACTCTCCATCTCGGGGGGAACTAAAGAACAGTGATGGCAGGAGTGGGCAGTCTGCATGGGGTGCAGAGGATGATTTTAAGCATGGGAGTAGCATAGTCAGTCTTTTTGTCTGGCTGCATTCAAAAGGGTGTTTGAGGTTGGCCTAGAGTAGTAGGAGGACATTGGAATAGTCCAGGTGAGAAGTGATTTGTGCTGTCAAATCGCAGCAGTGAGGATATGGTAGCACAAAGGCTCCAAGAGAGTCCTGTTTAGAATAAAGAGTTGATGGCCATTTAGAAGTGAGGGGGAGGGAGACAGAGAAAAGCGTCTTAAGATGACTAGTTTTCATTTGATCGGTTGGTTTTGGTTGTGGTTTTCTCTGTTGGTGGATGGTGGCACCATTAAGCTGGCTGGGAAAACTAGGAAAAGGAAGACGTATGGAAGGAAGAGAATTTGAGCACATCGAATTTCAGATGTTTGCAGCGTCCAGGTAGAGAAGTCTTGTAGACGAGCTCAGGAAGGTGATCAGACTAGAGACGGTGCGAGTCTTGTGTCAGTAGGGAATGTGAAGGGTGGAAGAGGGGAGCCAGAGACCCGTCTGCAGGGGAGGCGTGTTCAGCAGCCTAGAAGCCATGTAAGATAGTGGGGAAAAGTGACAGATTTGACCAGAGTTGAGGAATCTCAAGTCTTAGTAAGTAGCCCGCTGACATAGGAAGCAGGGTGGGCTGGCTGAGTAAGGAGACTGGAGCAGATTTGGGGGTGGCTGCAGGGAAAGCAAGTAGTGACAAGAAAAGACTTCTGGGACTTTATGGAGGGGTCCCAGCTGATGTTAGTCAAGTTCTAGGGGCATCTGTCTGCCTGGCTGTATGATTTCTGCTCCACCCCCAACCCTCCTACCCAAATTAAACCCCCAGATTCTACATTGCATCCTGAGCCCCCAGCTGTGAGCCTTGTTCGTGTGCCATTTACTTCTTAGGACACCATGGGAAAGAGCACAGGTTTTAGTTCAAGTGTATCCATGTTACGTCTGTGTCTGAGCAAAGCCTGAATATGAAAGGCCAACCTAATTTAAAAATTATATCATGTATGACTGAAACCGAGTTCATTTATTTTTCAGCTATGATTTTTATTTTCACAAGCATTTTATCACAATGATTAATGCAAAAGCTTATTAGGTTTGTAGGTGCTACTAAGAGTGACCTTTTGATGGATTTTATAAGCACTTAGAATACTGCAAGGAAAGAGAAGAGAACTGATATACGAGCACCTACTAGGCACTTTACATGATCTCTCAGTTAAGAAAAAATACAAAATAATTTTTATCTGTTTTTAAGCATAAATTTATAATTGGAAAAAAATACACTTACTTTAAAAAACAGCAACAACAGAAACACCTAGCTACTGTCCTTATACTCAGTTGGGGAACTGATTTGAGGATAGTGGTGGTGAGTTTGCCTGGATTTGTTTTGAACTCATTCATCCTCAAAGCTGACACCTTATATCTGAGGGGCAGGGGGAGACACACTGTTCATATAGTACTCTATTGGCATCTCATGGAATTGGGTAGTGCTTAGCCCATGAAGTGCTGGGCTGGGGGTGTCTCTCCGAGCAACCCTCCACCAACCATACACATTTGAACATAAGTGGGTGGGGTTAGGCTGCAGCAAAGAGTATTAAGAGAGTGGTTCTTCCTGCATAGTTGTTACTTTAAGGCAGGAAGGTGATCATGTCCTGATTTTCTGTAGCAACTTTGGTAACAGTAGGCAACTATTAATGCATGAGAAATAGATACATATTGTGTGGGAATCCTCATGTTAATTTCCAGAAATACTAATAATGTGACATGAAAAGAAAGGTATGTGATCATCTATTTTTAACTTTAAAGTTAAAATATTTTCTGTCAATTGAAAATTAAGGGAAACCCTGAAATTTTTAACAAAGATGTAATTAGATTGAAAATTTAAATTTAAAAGATTTTATAATTACGGGAAAAGATAAACAGGTAACTTGGAATTGCAGTGTTAGTCTCATGTCTGAGTCTCTCAAAAGACAGGTCTGTTTTTAAGAAGGTTTGTGGGTTTTTTTCCCATTTCATTTATTATTTACTTCACTTGAAATATGTGTGCCCTGGAATCAAGTTCAGGGCAGTCAGTTGGATAATGTCTCTGGTATCTCAGTTGAGTGTGGCTGTAAAAGAGACTAATGCCCGCGTTCCTCCACCCCAGACCCTTGGCCCTGCAGTTGGCTCACAGCCCACCCTCAGGGAAGGTCCTTGTCCTGCATGGTGGTTTGGAGCCAGAAACTGCTGTTCCAGACAGCTAATTTGGGCAAATTCATTAGCATCAGTATTTACCATCTAGTTTCTAGTAATCCCCAATATGGCCAGTTTTTTACTATTGTTCATTCTCACCGCTTTCTGTTCGCTCTCTCTTTTCCCCTCCTCTTCAGACATGCATATACATTGTCCCACCTTGGGGACACTTGTCATCACAGGGTCTGCTGTGTCAGTTTTCCCATGTCTTTTCCTGTGCACATTTTTTTTTTCCTGTTAGAGAGATGACCTCTTACTCCCATCTTACCTGAAACACTAAGGTACACACATTGATACAAGCATGCACTCCCATGGCAACAAGAGATGGACAGTAGGAAGTCTGGAAAAGTTTTAGTCCCAGCCAAAATACAAGGCATCAGGCTGCTTTGGAAGAGCTTGGAGACTAAGAACTCTTGAAGTTAGATTGAAAGCATCTTTAGCAAGCGGCGTAGGGTCGTGTGGTGGTGGGGCCGGGGGTGGGAGCCTGGTGGATTGACTGCTTCTGACTTGGGTCCAAACTGGCAAAGGGTAGTTAGTACTCTCACAGTCTCTGTGTGCACTTAAATTTTTTTTCTCTAAATATTACATTGAATCAGAATCTCCAAGGCCGAAATTATTTATACATAGACTCGCAGGAGATTCTTATTTGTAACCAGGTTAGAAAACCATAGAGAATCACTGAAATAGTCAAACTGGTACAGGAATGCTTATTAGTAACCACAAAGAAACAATTATCTGTCTTCATCAATGGACAGATGAATACTTAGAGCAGTGATCCCCACTCTCAAAGTCTCAGAATTCTTGTATGAGCAATAGAAAAAAAATCTTATTTCAAAACTAATCTGGGGACTTCTCTGGTGGGGCAGTGGCTAAGAATCCACCTGCCAGTGCAGGGGACACGGGTTCAAGCCCTGGTCCGGGAAGATCTCACATGCTGCGGAGCAACTAAGCCCACGTGCCACAACTACTGAGCCTGTGCTCTAGAGCCCGCGAGCCACAACTACTGAGCCCACGTGCCACAACTACTGAATCCCATGCGCCTAGAGCCCGTGCTCCGCAACAAGAGAAGCCACCACAATGAAAAGCCCGCCTGCTTCAACGAAGAGGAGCCCCTGCTTGCCGCAACTAGAGAAAGCCCGCACGCAGCAGTGAAGACCCAACGCAGCCAAAAATTTAAAAGAAAAAAAAAAATCTGAGTTGTCATACAGTGAAAGACTAACATACCATAAACAAGTGAGTCAAATTCCATAGTGAAAGGTGGTTCAGAATGAGGAAATTTGTTACTGTTTCACTGTATCACTGAATCTCAATCATTTCAGACCCAGTGCCCCTCCTTTCTAACAAATATTTGATACCATCTTTGGTAATCCAGAAATGAAATGCATAGATAATATAATCATTCTTTAGACCTGGTTTAAAGTAATATATTTATGATGTCTTAACATTTTATATTTGATATAAATATATGTGTGTTTGTGTGTGCATGTCTCCAGCCTTCACTGCTTGCTCTGTTGTGTGACTTTTAGGCAATTGAAAAGTCGATATTCAGATTGTGTTTTAAAAGAGTTACCATGAATCAGTTTGGAAGGATTATTTACTTGCAGATGATTTTGGAACAACTTGTTTGCTGCAGTATCTGGGCAAAATAGTTGTTTGGTTATTCACCACATATTGTACACTGAAAGAAATGGCAGTGGATAAAAGTTAGATACAGATAAACCTTTTTTTATACTTAAAGAAAAAATAAGTAACAGGTTTTTGGAATGGGGGGAATTTTAAATCTTAAAAGCAAATGGAGGAGATCACAAAGGAGAAGGGCCAGTGCATGTAATTGAAACTGAAAATTGAAACATCCAAATAAACTGTCAAAAACACATCTTCCACCCACAAAAAAATTAGAAGTCCTTGATTTAGAGAAAGTTAACCCTGGTGGGGACCATCACATGTGTATGGATAATGTTGCATGCATTCCAAAATGGACACGATATTCTGATCCTGAAGAAGAAAATATTTTTTACATCACAGAAGTGAACCTAGAAAATTCATTCAGCTGTCGCTGGCCATCTGGACTGCAGTATTCTTTACTCCAGGCAAAGGAGTGTTTGACGCCCATGGCAGTATTAGGGGTTCCTGTCATTCTTGATAATAAATTTAGCAGTCGAGGAAAATAGTCCTTTTGGAGGGGGAACCGCCAACTTAGCTTGAATTATCAGAAGTTATTTACCCCTGTTGAGTGCATTCCTTCCGTATAAGAATTCATGAGACATTTTCTAACACATATACATACACTCTTACAATGTTGATGCTTTTCTGTACCTGGCATTACAGATAAAGCATGAAAGAGGTAAACAGTATGGTTGACATGAAGACACACTGCTCAAATCCTTGACTCAGCGCCAGCAGCCTTTTCCTGACTGCTAAGAAAAAACAGCTCTCCCTTTCCCCATTATTAACTTCTCACTTTCTAACACCTCTTTACATGGTTTCTGGATGTCTCAGGGCTCTGATTTCGTGCTGCCTCCTGCCTGCTTTCTGGCTGGCTCCCTGCTACCTGACCCCTCTCCCTGAGCGAGGGGTGGCCAGGAACACGGGGCCCTGGAATTCCTCGGAGCGGATTGAAATCATGGTCCTAAATGGAGTTTGCCGGGGATCTGTGGAGCTTTTTTTTGCAGGGGGGGGGGGGCGCACCTTGCAACACGTAGGCATGTGAGATCTTAGTTCCCCAACCAGGGATCGACCCCATGTCCCCTACAGTGGAAGCGCGGAGTGTTAACACTGGACCGCCAGGGAAGTCCCGTGGGGCTTTATTATCTAGGCTATTCCCGTTTTCCATCATTGAAGTTGGCCGTGTTTTCATCGGGACAGTACATAAAGTGGAAGAGAGGGTGAGGTTGGTCTTAAGGCTCTCAAGTCAGCCAGGAGACTGGCCGCTTGGCCTCTACCCGCGCATGACGTCAGGCTGTCCCTATGGTTCCCCCTCAGGTCATGAAACGGGTGCGCACCGAGCAGATTCAGATGGCCGTGTCCTGCTACCTCAAACGCCGGCAGTACGGGGACGCGGACGGCCCACTGAAGCAAGGCCTGCGGCTGTCGCAGAGCGCCGAGGAGATGGCCACCAGCCTCGCAGGTACCACCCAACCCCGTCCCGGAGGCAGCGTCCAGCCCAAGTGCCTCTCTGAAAATCCCCCGCCCAACACGTCCTCCTGCAGTATCCCGGGGGCTTTGAGCTGTACCTGATGTCGTGTGCGACTTTCTCCTTCTGTGAGCTAGGGCCAGGGTCTCTGTCCCCTTTTTGCACGTGCCCCCTCCCCTGTCGTTTGGGCCTCACCTGTGGAAGGCACGTTCTCCAGGTGGATGAGTCCTTTGGGATCAGTGGGTGGAAATGTTGGCATCATATACGTGTTCCTGAGGCTTTTAACATTTCTTTTTGCTTTTGTTGTTTGTTTTGAAATTGGATTTGGATTCTTTTTTAGAAAAACTTTGGAGAAATTTTTCCTGCCGTGCTGTCAGGGTAGTTATGAGCGTCTTTAAATGGCCGGGTGTGGGGAGCTTAAGGTTGCAGTGCCTTCTCCAGCTCAGCCTGGCTCCTCAGGGGAAGCCTTCTTCCCTTCAGTGTCAGACCTACTCACTCTCCCTCGCCTTCAGACTCTGCTGGGTTCCCCTGACAAGGACAGGGCCAGGCGATGAACTCGGAATTGATTCATGAAAGCCTTAATGTTTCTAGTAGGATGGCCAGTGTACAGGACCAGAGTAATTCCTTCTAAACTCGCCATCATGGCCTTTGATAAGCTCCCACTGGCCTGTGTTCATTGGAGCCTGTGCTGTTGCTGATAGACAGTAGGGCAAAGCACTGTTAAATTTGTGTTCTCAGTTGTCTTCTTTTCGATACGATGGCGTATTAGGAGAGTCAGTGTTCCTGGAAAACCACCAGGAAAAGCGATAAGCTTTTTATTGTATTGATTATTGTAAGATTTTGTCCTAGGTTTTTCTGTTGATTGAGTAATCTGAATACTTATATCTGCGTTCAGCAGATGGTTGTGAAGGTCTGCTGGTGGCCAGGTGCTGAGAAATTCTCGAGAGAGCTAAGACTTGACCCTGGCTCCGGAAGAGCTCTGTTACAGTCAGCTGAGGCAGGCGGATGAGCGCACGCGGGCGGCGTGACATAGTCCTGTGAGGGCTGCTCAGCCTCCATACGAGCAAAGAAGGTGGTGCTCTCAGGTCGGCCGGCAGGTCACAAGGGCTTCCCAGAAGGTCTCATGGTTCCCAGCATATAGTCAGGGGTCAGTAAATCGTAGAAGGCATGAGCTGAGTTTCCAGAGAACTGTTAGGAGCTTATCGGGGGGCAAAGCTGGGGGCAGGTGTCCAGGTTATCAGATGTGGGTCTTAGGAGGATGGCCGTGGTGGCTGTGTTGATGGGGGAAGGCCCGGATTGGCGCCAGGGGAGCTAGTCAGAAGGCCGCAGCATGATCCAGTGAGAGGTGAGGACAGCCTGAGCTAAAGGGTGGTCATCAGAATGGCAAGGGGAGGATGCCTGTGAGGGCTTGTGACTGTAGGACTCGAGACTGGTTCCCTCACGGCGGGGCAGCAGGAGGGCCCGTTCGTGCGCGTGCAGACTTCCAGCATGTGTCCGAGTTCCCGGAGGGATGCTGACTCTTCCCATCTGTCTCCCCGCCTCTCGATGCTCTCCGTCGTGTCTCCTCGGCCCTGCTGCATTAATTACATTCCTTCTTCCTCCTTCCCACGTGCGTCCCACGCGCGTCGGTGTTTGTCCAGATTGTTGTTGAAGATGGCTCGTCAGTCCCCCGCCGCCTCTCCCGAGTTGTGAGGTCCCCCACCCCACCCCCAGCAGAAAGGGTAGGAGAATTTTGCTTTTCTTGTTAGAAAGCATGAACTCACAGAATGGCGATGAAGTGCATGTTTACATCCTGAGTATTGAGACTCCAGCCTCCTTCCTCCTCTCGCTGCCGAGAACACTGCCATCCAGGCACCTGCTGTCCAGGAAGGTGATTAAAAGCCTCGCCCCTGGTGAATCTGCCCTGCCCAACAGAATGGACCTAAAGACATCACCAGCGGGGAATTGCCCATCCAGGTCCTCTTGGGTGATAAGTGCACGCCCAGAGTTCTCATCAGCTCTGTGGTGCCTCACTTTCAGATAACTAGGGACTGTCAGATCCTGGAAGAAACTGATCTGCTTCATATGAAAAATTGAAGGAAACAGTGAGAAGCAACTTGAAGGAAGCAAACAGCAGAGAGAAAAAAAAAACTTCAAAACTACCATCATTGATAGCCTTGAAACAAGAAGAGACTGCTATTTTAAGAGAAGAAAACGTTCAGATAAATACATGACAGTGAAACTGAAAAATCATTCGAAGGGTTGAAAGTTGAGGAAGCCTCCCAGAAAGTAGAGCAGAAAGACAAAAATTGGAAAATCTGGGAGACATTAAAGGGTCAGTTCAGGAAACCTACCTCGAAATTGTAGGCGTCCCAGAAAGAGAACACAGGAGAGAAAGCAACAAAATGATTCAAGAAAATTTCTCAGAACTGGAAGACGCGAATTTCCAGATTGAAAGGGCCCACTGAATGCCCAGCACGGGGGTTGAAGATGGACCCATCCCAAGGCACACGATGGTACAGTGTCAGGTCCTGGGGTCAGATGCGTCCAGAGGAGTCTCTCGTGAGCCTGTGTGCCTCTCCTCTCTCGTCCAGCTCGTGTACCCTGTGCTTTATACCTTTCGTTCCTCTGCTGTCACATCACTGGGTGTCAGGAGCGGGTGGGGTAGGCGTGTCGGTCATATTTAACCAGAAGCCCCAACGTACTATGAAAACGGGCTGAGATGTCAGATGCCACAGCTGCGCCTCCTTCCATCCATCCTGCCACGTTTTGGGCTGGCGATTGTCTTTGCCGTCCCCATCTTATGTATCTTTTCCTCCTTAGTCCAATCAGAATCTGGTTGTGCCAACATAGTGTCTGCGGCCCCTTGCCAGGCAGAGCCCCAGCAATATGAAGTGCAGTTCGGACGGCTGCGGAATTTCCTCACCGGTAAGTACTCCACACGACTCCCTTCTCTGCGCGTTTCCCTCAGAACCGTCTGTGTTCCAGCTCTGGTGTTAGGTACCAGGGGTTCAAAGGTGGTTGAACGCAGGCCTTGCATTCACACTTAGGGTCTATTGGAACTCCCAAGAGAGTCAAATCAGGAGATTAAAGTGTGCAAGGGCAGGGCTCTGGGTGCGTTACTCACTGTTTTGTCCATGGCCTTCAACACAGTGACTGTGACTTGTGTTGGATAAGTACAAGCTCAGTCAGCCATGAAGGGAAACCTCCTTAAATGCAGCAGGTGTGAAATGGATGTTGATATCACTACCAGTGATACAGTACATCTCAAAATGGTTTTTTCCCCTTATTTCCAAAAATGCAAGACAGTAATCCTCATGAATCAGCAACACCAAAAAATTAGAAGTTGTAATTTAGTCCAGTTTGTGGGTGCTGTGATAACCACAGACACACTGAATCAGTAGATATGAGTTCTCATGAGTTTTTCTGATTCACTATATGACTTTTTAAATTAATCACTCTAAAAACTGTAGTCATGTAGCCTTTCTGGGGCCTTTAGTTCCTCATATGTAAAGTGAAGAAGGCTATTCAGAGGCAAAACCAAGTGATTTTGTCTATAGTCCTAAGCTGACTGATTATAATTTTAATGTTGAAAAGATGATTATACTAAGCGAGACCATGTTGATTCTGGTTATTAATCAAAGTCTTTTGTTGAGTACTTTATACAAAACACCTTGAGGTACAAGAAATACAAAACTTTCTGTGTCCTCAAAGGATGGAGAGTAATTAGCATGTATTGGTTAGTAGAAAATTTTAGTTAAAATACTTTGAAGTTGTTTTATTTTTTTTTTCCTTATTTGAACAACCCTCAGGTTAATAATTTTTAATGGTAAAGAGGCATAGTAAGTGATCAATATATAAACCAAAATAATATACCTAATTTTGCACACTTAGAGTTGTCCTAATTTTACTTCACCCTTATAATGGTTAGTATTTTAAAGGAAAGAATCCACATTTCCTGTATTCTGTAGTCGGGCAAAATGACCAAACTGTTACAGGAAATAAAGATTACAAAATAAAACCCTAAAGAGGGTCATCTTATCAGTCTCACAGTTGTTGACTGATGGGATTCATTCTGTTGAATTGTTACAAAGATGAAAAAATTGCGAAGACTAAGGGTCTAATAAAAATATTCTATTATGTTTAAACTGGAAAGAAAGAAACTCCATTAAGATCCTCATATCATATAAATGTTAAATGTCTCAGAACAGTGATCAGCTGCTTTCCATGTCCACTAAAGATAAAAAAAGAAAAATTGGATTTATAAGAAGGATTTCATTCAGAGGTAAGCAAGAACTTGGAGATAATCAAGTTATTTTTCATTATTGGCATTGGTTTTTGAGGCGTTGAGCAATTTTTAAGTTTTTTAAAATCAGTTTTTAGAAAGTTATTTTACTGGTTTTTTTAAATACGGTTATGATTTCTCCCTGAGAGACTTCTCTCATCAACCTAGTGGTGAGGAAGGTGGTTTAGAAAGAAGTGCCTGGCGTCTTTCAGCCCTTCTCTTTCACTCAGTCATCCTGTACTTACGTGAGGCTCTGACTGTCCTGGGCTAGGTATTGCAGGAGAGTGTATTGATGGGGGCCCGCCCTCTGATGAGGGAGCCAGGCAACGTGGAAGCTCCGAATCTGTCATTGTAATAATCTCCATCAGCCTTTTCCTACGCAATTTCTCGTCTTGTTTCAAAACTGAGAAGGCTGTCTGTTACCTTGTCTGTGATTTAATTCTTTTTTTTTTTTTTTTTGCACTATGCGGGCCTCTCACTGTTGTGGCCTCTCCCGTTGCGGAGCACAGGCTCCGGACGCGCAGGCTCAGCGGCCATGGCTCACGGGCCCAGCCACTCCGCGGCATGTGGGATCTTCCCGGACCGGGGCACGAACCCGTGTCCCCTGCATCGGCAGGCGGGCTCTCAACCACTGCGCCACCAGGGAAGCCCTGTAATTTAATTTTTTAATCCTTGGTCACAGGTTATTTTGAGGGGGTGAGTATATGTGTTTTTCCTCACAGACTGCTTTTCCTGGAATATTTTTCTCCACCTTCAGGGCTCTGAAGAGCAGTCAACCAAATCAAACGCAAGAGTTATTTTCTGAGCACCAAGATGAAATATAACATGTAGTCATTAATCTGAACTGAAAGTTAACCCTAACATAAGAGGGCTAGAAGTCACAGTTTTGCATGAGATGTGACTGGGGGAGTGTTTTTGTAGGCCAAGACGGAGCCAGTTGCTGGGTGTTCGTGGGAACTGCATTTGGAGTGAAGGGAGGGGCTGGCGTGGGGTGGTCAGAGGCAGCCTTCCTGAGGAGGGTAGGGTCGACGTTAGCACTTGCACGTTGGGCATCTGTGCCAGAGTGGGAGGATCTGGCCTACGTGCGAAGGCATGAGCAAAGGGGCAGAGACGGTGATGATTTTTTCAGGAACAGCGAAGGAGCTGGCTTTGTTGAAAATGGGCTTTCGGGGAGGGATAAATTGGGAGATTGGGATTGACATATACACACTACTATATGCAAAATAGATAACTAATAAGGATCTACTGTACAGCACAGGGAACTCTACTCAATACTCTGTAATGACCTATATGGGAAAAGAATCTAAAATAGTGGATAGCTGTATGTGTGTAGCTGACTCACTTTGCTGTACAGCAGAAACTAACGCAACATGGTAAGTCAAGTATACTCCAATAAAAAAAAAAATTTTTTTAAAGAGAAAAAAGAAAAAGAAAATGGGCTTTCAGATTGGAGATAAAGACAGACAAAATGGAGGCAAGATCTGGCCACAGGGGTAGAAGTGTGACCCTCGTCCTGTGTGATGGAGACAAGCCTGGGCGTGAATGTGGGTGTGGAAGCAGTGGACGAGAGTGTTTGTGGGCGGGGTGATGGGAGGCCAGCCTGAGTCCACTGTGGTCCCTGAGGAGTGAGACAGGGCTGTGGATGCCGAAAGTGGGTCTTCAGTTCACAGTTACATTGTCAAGGTAGGATCTCCAGGGCTAAGGAGTAAAGAAGGCAGAAGAGCTAAGGATGCCTCAGGCTCTTTGGGGGGGGGCGGGGTATACCGAACAGAAATAAGTCAGGTTTTATTCTTTACGTTGTTATGATGATAGCATCCTGCTACGTAACACAGAAGATACAGACTGTGATACAGAACTCAGCATCAGCCCTGGGGAGATACAAAGTAAGTTCTAGGAGATGGTAACTCTCGAAGGAGTTAATAGAGAAAGGTAAGAGGTTCTAAGGCTGAGCTCCCTCCAATATTTCTCCTCCAGAAGCTGTGGGACTGAGAGCTGCCGTGAGCTCACCTGTTGCTCCAGGGCCTTTCCTACAGGACATGTAGTGGGAAGAGCATAGCCTATGGGGTCAGTTACTCTGGATCTGAATCTGGGGACAGCTGTGACTCCTAGACACAATGTAGGTGTAAGTGCCTGGCTCATGGGAGGCACACAATGCAGTGGTAGTTCCTCAGAGTGAGGTGAGCCTTCGAGGAACAAGGGAGGAAGAGGAGCCCCCAGGCAGGGACACGAAGGCGCAGGCCAGCTGGTGCTATTTCAGAGCTGAGGACAGTGTGCGGTCGGTGGGCCCAGCCCTGCGGAGAAGGGCCAGGGAGTGAGGACCAACAAGCTCGGTGTTCGTTTAACTTAGTGTCCTTTCGGTAAAATATAAGGTGTATGTTATGATTTCAAGGGAACGAGATTCAAATTGAGTTAAGCCTTAATGTTAGTCTCACCTTGTTCCACATATAGAATATGTTGATTGGAGCTTTTATACCTAATATACTGTTCTCTTCAGACAAGAAAGAACAGTTAAGCAGCTTTGAAACTATGGGCTGAAACAACAGTGAATTTCAGTAAGTTTTAAAGTACTGCATCCCTATTTCTAGATGGCTAGTTTTTTTGAATCCTGGACTTGGTAAATTAAAATGCCTCTCATTTTCGAAAATAAGCCTGAAACTAAGGTTGTAAGGAGTTGAAAACAGCCCTTCATCCCAACAGAATATATTGGACGTCTAATTGGTAAGGGTTGAATCTTTTTGTTTGTTTTAATTAGTATTTGGGGAAAGAAATATTCCAGAGGTCTTCTAAAGAATTACAGTATTTAAAGAAATATTGAAATCTGTATTAGGGTTCTCCAGGGAAACAGAACCAACAAAATGTATATGTATAGAGAGATTTATCTTCAGGAATTGGCTCATGTGATTGTGGAGACTGACGAGTCCAAAATCTGTGGGGCAGACCTGCAGGCTGGTACTCAGGAGAGCTGCAGTTCATGTCCACAGGCCGCCTGCTTGTCGATTCCTTCCCCCCCACCAGGGAGGTCAGTCTTTGTTCTCCTAAGGCCTTCAACTGATTAGACGAGGCCCACCCACATGTGGAGGGTAATCCAGTGTACTTTAGTCTACTGATTTAAATGTTCATCTCATCTTAAAAAAATGCCTTCACAGAAATATCTAGAATAATGTGTGAACAAGTTTCTGGGCGCTGTGGCCCAGCCAAGTTGACACATAAAATTAACCATCACAAGTCCACCGCCTGTGGACTTGTGATGGCACCCTTACCCATCTCCTTAAACCATAATTAACCTGCAAATAAAGGTGATTAACAAGGTCATAATTCTACTTAACATGGTACAGCTATCCCAAGTACAACCAAGAATGCCCTAATGCCTTCCTCAGAAGAGGAAGCAAAGTCCACAGGTGATGTTTACCCTTCTCCTTGAGATCCCATAATTTAAGTACTGTGACGTAAAGTTAACAATACTTAAACACTATGATATAGGGAATTCCCTGGTGGTCCAGTGGTTAGGATTCCACGTCTCCACTGCAGGGGGCCGGGGTTTGATCACTGGTCAGGGAACTAAAATTCCACATGCTACACAGCACGGCCAAAGCAAAAAGAAAAAATACTGTGATACAAAGTCACCATAACTTATGTTCCATGGTAAGGGGATAAGAAAGGAAAGAAAACAAAGATATTTGCTTATGTATAGGTATACACACACACAAACATGTTCATAACAAAATAAGGAGGAATACTCATGACAGGTCCAGTCCTGGGTTCTGTCACTGGTCACGTGGTCATAGCTGGTCTCTACCTTCCTCTGCCGCCTATTCTGTATTCCCTTTGCCTTCAGTTAGCACCTCAGCTGGTCCTGGTTCTTTACCTGGTGGGATAATGCAAACCTTCGTTTCTGAAGGGCCTGGGCCACTACTCGTCCTGCCTGGATTGGATTGTTGCATATTTCCACTCACCTTAACCTCAGGGACGGTGGTACTAAGAGATGCCCTAAGTGACCTCCTGTGTCCCAGACACACTGTCCTCGGCTCCCTGTGGAGCACAGTCCAGTTTCCCCTCGGCATTAAGGGGCAGTCACCACAGCCAGCACCAGAGCTCCCTGTGCCTGTTGGTACAGAGGCAGGAGCCCTAACTTCAGTTCAGCGGGATCAGTGCAATTGAAGTTCATCTAAGAATGCATTTGAGTGGGGGCATGTTGATCCTCAGATGCACCTACTATGCAGTTAATTCACCTGTGATGAGGTGAAATAGAGCATCAAGCAGAGATAGCGTGCAGGGATCATCTCCCTTCCAATTAGGGAGATAAGATTCCCTAATGCAGTGTTCCTGAATCTTGAGCCAGGTGTGGATTCCTTTTCAGGAAAAAAAGAAAAAGAAGAAAGAAAGAAAACGCTAGCGGAAGTGCTAAGAGCTGACTTAAAGCATTTTTATATTAATTACTTAGGTATGTACAGACATTACACGTGAAACCATTATGCTTTATTTTGTATAAAAGCTAAACTCATTTACATATAAAGTACAAGCAAAACCACAAAAATAAACTTCAAATTAACAGCAAGTGAAAGTAACAGATGGATTTTGCCAGTCATAACTTGCTACTCTAACGGGCCTAGGGCTGGTGTCACCCAGCTTCCCTGAGGTGCCGGTGCCTGAGATGGCCCTGCTCGCTAGCCACTCACCTCCGTCCAGATGGCTGTGGAACCTTCGCTCTGTCACAGCTCTCTCTGCCCTCCCTCACTTAAGTGTCACACACACTTCTGTGCTTTTCTCCTTAGCCTGTGACAAAGCTGTACACTTTTTTGAACATTCTTTGTCATGTACTTTCATGGTGTTAAAAGTCTCAGGTTAGTAAGTGATTTAGTCTTAATGACATGAAAGTGTTCCACTTGTAAATTATCACTGCAGAAGAGAAGTTGTATTTTTTAACCAGCAAAATCAAAGTGAGTACACTGACAGATGTGGGACAATTATAGATGAATGATGTCATGCTGCCAGTCAGGGGGGCTAGACATGTTAATGAACCCACTAAAATAAGAACTTGATGTTACTGCAGGTGATGGGGCCAAGAGGAGTCACACAACAAAGTAGAGCACTAAAACTGTATGTTAATACTTACTTGCTAAAGGCCATCCAGATAATTCTGAATTTACCTGTGTTCATTGTTTTTTAAATTATCAAGTTAAAGTTTCTGTGAAGAACGCAGTCTCCCGAGAATGCATCTAAGGTCTCTCCAAGGTCTCAGGTCCCAGCTGGAGCAACACTAATGTGCTGGGGAAAATACTAACCCTTGAAGACCTGGTACGAGCTACTGAATGCATGTGAGAACAGGCACATCGCTTAACCTCTGGCCGTCGAATTCTGGGTTTACGGCTGACTTCGGGCCATGTTTCCTGGCCTTCAGGGTCCGTGCTCTTCCTTCCTCAGTCCCGGCTTGGACTTTGAGTGTCCAGAATTCTGTGTTGGGATTATACTTCAGTCCATAGCCTCAGAAAGTAGGGTCCTGGCCAGAAGAGGCCATGTGACGGCGGGCTCCCCAGGAGACTCTGCTGACTGTAAAGGCCCTGCTTCTCTTTCATTACAGATTCTGAATCCCAGCACAGCCATGAAGTGATGCCTCTCCTCTACCCCCTCTTTGTCTACCTCCACCTCAACCTGGTCCAGAACAGTCCCAAGAGCACGGTGGAAAGCTTTTACAGCCGCTTCCATGGAATGTTTCTGCAGAATGCCAGCCAGAAGGACGTCATCGAGCAGCTGCAGACCACCCAGACCATCCAGGACATCCTGTCTAACTTCCGGCTGCGGGCCTTCCTGGACAACAAGTACGTGGTCCGCCTGCAGGAAGACAGCTACAACTACCTTCTCCGCTACCTCCAGAGTGACAATAACACCGCGCTGTGCAGAGTCCTCACCTGGCACATCCACCTGGATGTGCAGCCCACCAAGAGGACGGACTACCAGCTCTACGCCAGCGGCGGCCCCTCCCGGGGCGAGGGCGGCGGCCTGGAGCCTGCCGACGTGCCTGCGCCCATCCTGCAGAACGAGGCCGCGCTGGAGGTCCTGCAGGAGAGCATTAAGCGTGTCAAGGACGGTCCCCCCTCTCTCACCACCATCTGCTTCTACGCCTTCTACAACACGGAGCAGCTGCTGAACACGGCGGAGGTCTCCCCGGACAGCAAGTTGCTCGCCGCTGGCTTTGACAACTCCTGTATAAAACTGTGGAGTCTGCGCTCCAAGAAGTTAAAATCCGAACCGCATCAAGTAGACGTGTCCCGCATCCACTTGGCTTGTGATATCTTGGAGAAGGAGGTAGGAATGTCGGTCTTTCTTCCCTGCGTCTGCCTTACTAATCAGCTTGGAATATTCCTACCAAACGTGGCAGATCTTATGGCAAACGCACTTCCTTATTTCCCGCATCATATAGCTAACGCCAGACTCATGCCTCGTAACCTGTAGCCGGTGACTCCCTGCTAATGCCCAGCCTTGGCGGAGACAATAAGCAATTAGACGTAGGATCACTGGGTCAGAGGGTCTGCGTCTTAAAGTGTGATACTGCCGCCTCCCAGTGCCACGAGCAGTAGACAAGGACACTGGTTTCTCTCCACCCTCGCCCACCCTGGCTGCTCTCGGCCTTTCAAGGGCAGTGCAAGTCCTCTGGCTTCACCCAGGGTGCCGCCATTTCATCCAGCAGTCAGTGTGATGAGCTGGTTCACTCTGTTTGCGGGTGGTCGTTGAAAGGGGCAGGCACAGTGGCCTGAATTTCAGGTCACCAAGAGCCATTGCCTCAAAAAAAGCGTGGGCAAAAGGAGATAGAAATTGAATTTCACAGAGTTCACCTTCCCTGAGAGTGGCACCACGGATGTTGTGGGTAGGATAGCGCTGTCGTATCACCACTGAAATTCGGGTAGCTCGGCCTCAAGTTACTTTGGATGGAAAACCTTTGCACCAGGTTGAAAAGTTAATGAGTAAAAAAAAAAATCACTCGAGTTAATTTCCAGTTACTGATGAGGGTAGCAAGAATATTGGGTGTACAAATTAGCCCCTTTCCTACCTATTCTTGTTTTCTTAGTTACCTTCCAGTTAGTGTGGCCTTTGAGTCTTTGCTTCTTGCAGTTAAGACAGTATAATTAGAGGAGTTTGTTAGGATGAGTAAAGAGTCTAAATTCCAATGCACAAACTTTGATTTCTAGAATTCTGTAGTGCCCTCCAGAATATTTTTCAATGCACAAGTTTATCTTCCTTGGAGACAGCTCTAGCTTCTTGGGGGTTCTTCACATACAGTGAGGGATACTGCCCTCATTTACTCTCAGTTTTTTACTTAAAAAAATTATTCCTACCCACCTTATTAACTTTGATGATACTGAGTTTGGGGATTATTCTAGGCATTAAAAAATAATATAAAGGAAGATAGCAAAGGTAGAAAGATAGATGCAAAGATGGAAAGAACATTAGCCTAAAATAAAAATTTTTAAGATTCCACCGTGGCTACCGCTGAATTTTGTAACGTGAATTATATCTCACTTTTTAAAAAAATCAAAAACAGTAACCAAAAGCTCCTGTGTAAGCATAAAATTATCCCAAATGCAACTGGATTTACAGCCCTGCCCTCCAGCTTCTGTTGTCTCCACATGAAGAGAAGCTAGATTAGCCTCGGAAATGTGTTCGCTGGGCCCGCAGTGCTCCCGTCACCCAGTGCCAGCAGCCTTGGAATGGGGAGCGGGCCTGCCCTCCCTCCCCCACTTTGCTGCACACCGGATGGAGGTAGCTTGTCGATTGGCAGCTGTGTGTTTTTAATGTTTGCACAGCATGGCAAAACCACAGGTCCCCAGTGGAGGACTGCCCTTCTTTCCAGTCATGTGGACAGGACAGGACCACCCTCATCACCACCAGCCTCCCCGCCCTCAGCCCAGCAGTGCAGCACCTGTGTTCAGTTCATTTAACGTCTGGTCATTCTGCCCCCAATCTGGTCGTCTTGAGGTTTGAAAAATCAAGTCAGTGTGTCAATAATGCTAAGCTCTGTAACTTGTGTATAAAACTGTCATTTAGATCCTGGCCAATAGGAATATAATGTGAGCCATATGTGTAACTTAAATCGTCCTAGGAGTCACATGACAAAAGTAAAAAGTAGTAGTCAAAATTGATTTTAGTAATGTATTTTCAATCCCATATGGCCAAAATATTGTCATTTCTACATGTAAGCAGTATTTTTAAAATATTAATGAAGTCTGTTATATTCTCCCTTTTTGTCCTAAGCCTTAGAAATCCGTTGTGTATTTACACGTAGAGCACACGTCCATTCACACTAGCCAGCAGCCACCTTTTCTCTCCTAGGTCAGGCTGCTGTCATCTCTCACACAGATAGCAGTGTCTCACTTGCTTCCAAGTCTCACCCACTCCCAAGCCCAGCCATATTTAATTTCTTTCAGCTCCATCGGTAGCTAATTGGAGAACAGCCCCGGGCTGACTTTCAGACCCCAAAGTACCCTGATCTAGGAATGACCGCACTGTGAGCTGGGCCACTTGGAACGTCCTAGCCCAGAAGCAGATGGAGGGACTCCGTGGCCTAAAGCAGGGTCAGCAGACTATATAGTATTTGAAGATGTTATTTTTCTTATTCTTTGAAAATTTCTAGTTTAAGCATGTCTCATCATGTACATAATATAGTTTATTATCACATGAAAGTACTTTACAAATTAGAAATTCCTATTTGCGATGCATCTGGGGTGGAATTTACTGTGAGGGTTTAGACAGTGGCAGGGCATTTGCGGTGCTGTTCTCTTAGCATGGGAGGCTCCGTGAGGCCAGGCACGTGTGACCCACTGCCTGTTCAGGGTTTCAGCTTGACTGTGCTGAGGCCCTAATGGGGATGGGTTGAGCCACAGAAAAAAATGTGGCCGGACTATTTTAAGCTGTGGTCCTGGCAGGGAGCTGATAGGGATAGCCAGCAGGCCCATTCTGGCTTCCCCATTTCTTGGTTTGTAGAGTCAACCAGGCACTTTCCCACAGGCTCAGGACAATGGTTGGGCCCCTGGGGAGTCCAGCTTGACTCCGGTGTGTCCTCCTCTCTGCCTGTGAGCACACAGAGGGAGACCCACTTCCATGACTGCCTGCTCCAAATGAAGACTTCTTAAGCCTTGGAGACAGTACTGTGTGCCCTTGTCGGCCGCTAGCTTTCAGAAGCCCTCTGTGTAACTCACCTAGAGTTGTTTCTTGCCCCCGCAGCTCTGACACAAACTCTCCGGTGCACAGCAGTAACTTTAAAGTGTTGTTGTAATCTGTTCGGAAAGGAAAATTACTAATATTCTTGGTAACGCTCAGTAGAACCTTAAGCTCTCAAATGCTTAAGTGATTTTAGTGTTGAGTATCTGGAAGAGCCATTTTGAATCTTCATGGACATCAATGTTTATTTTCTCTTAACTTTTCTCCAATACGTAAACATTGGAGGCATTCATTCCATTTTGAATTTAATAGTTTTCAGATTAAAAGGATGCCCTTTTTCTGTCCAAAGGCTCACGAGGCAAGCCAGTTCAAGAAGCTTCATCCTACCTCCTGCTCTTCCAGTGAGGTCACTTGACTTTATGAATTCCAGGGTGAGGATGGCTGCAGTTTTAAGGAGCTTGTCCGCGAGAGAATGGACGGAGAGTGGGTTTGAACACAGAGAGTGTGCTTGTGGGGAAGAGGATGAGGAGAGGGGCCCCCCCCACGCCACGAGCCATCTTTTCTGTCGCCACACCTAGGGATTCATTTCCAAGACTCACATGAGTCACTTGGCTTTATTTAGAGCAATTCTGACTCCACGCCTCATTTGTTACTTTGGGGAAATATTTGAGACCCTCCAGAGTCACGGTTTCAAAACTCTTCTTTCCTTTTGGACACCAGCCGTTCATGCCTGGTCACAGGGTGTGAGCATAACTTACTGATGGCTGCACCTTCCTAGCCTACTGTTATTTCTGCGGTATGTCCAGGTTTTATTTTTGGCTGAACTCCCGCAGCGGTTCTGTATAAAAATCTTGAAACCGCGCCTGCCTCCATCACTGGCCCCAGGAGTGGCAGTAACAGGCATGTGGGGATTTTTCTAAATGGACTGGAGACGGGGAGCAGCATGGCCTACAAAGCAGCTGAGACTGACGGGCGAAGCCATGCCAGTAGAATAAAGGCGTCTAAGAACATAAGTTCAAAAGTACATCTTTTTGAGTGATCGGCTCTTGAAATCGGTTCTCCTCAACCTAAGAGTAAGGTCCACAGTCATCACTCTGCACTAATAGCCTTGCTACTACAGTCTTAGCTGCGAGGTGAATTTAAGGAAGGCAATTTGTAAGTTGTAGGAGGCTTTTTATTCAGTTATGCAATTAAGAGTTCTTCTGGAGTCACTGTAAAGAGCAGGGTCGTTCACTGAGTATATGCTATTTCCCAAGCAGGTCTGTTTCTAGACGTTTGTTTTCCATGACAGACCACTAAACGCTCTTCTCTTGTGTGTGTGTGTGTGTGTGTGTGTGTGTGTGTGTGTGCGTTCGTGCGTGCGTCCCCGCAGGACGACGAGGACGATAACGCAGGCTCGGAGATGAAGGTCCTGCGGGGACACTGCGGGCCAGTGTACAGCACCAGGTTCCTTGCGGACAGCTCGGGGCTGCTCTCCTGCTCTGAGGACATGTCCATCAGGTACTGGGACCTCGGCAGCTTCACCAACACCGTGCTGTACCAGGGCCACGCCTACCCCGTGTGGGACCTGGACGTCAGCCCGCACAGCCTGTACTTCGCCAGCGGGTCCCACGACCGCACGGCCCGGCTGTGGGCGTTTGACCGGACGCACCCGCTACGCATCTATGCCGGGCACCTGGCGGACGTGGACTGCGTCAAGTTCCACCCCAATTCAAACTACTTAGCCACGGGCTCGACCGACAAGACGGTCCGGCTGTGGAGCACCCAGCAGGGGAACTCGGTGAGGCTCTTCACGGGCCACCGCGGCCCCGTGCTCTCTCTGGCCTTTTCCCCCAACGGTAAGTACTTGGCGTCGGCGGGCGAGGACCAGCGGCTGAAGCTGTGGGACTTGGCGTCTGGGACCCTCTACAAAGAGCTTCGGGGCCACACGGACAACATCACCAGCCTCACCTTCAGCCCGGACAGCAGCCTGATCGCGTCGGCGTCCATGGACAACTCGGTGCGCATCTGGGACATCAGGAGCGCGCACTGCAGCGCACCCGCCGACGGCTCGTCCAGCGAGCTCGTGGGCGTCTACACCGGCCAGATGAGCAACGTGCTGAGCGTGCAGTTCATGGCCTGCAACCTCCTGCTGGTGACCGGAATCACACAAGAAAATCAGGAACATTGATTTTTATCTTTGATGTAACGGACTGGGGCGTGCGAAGGGCTCCAGACGGCAAGTCTTAGGACAGACGGATGGAATCACTGACTGACTGTGAAGGACTCCCCACGTCCCCACGCATACCCCCTCGCGCCCCCTCATTCCGCGGACATTCCGAGCCCACCACCCTTCGCTCAGCCCCCAAGTGTGGAAGGATGGGGGGAGGAAGGGCAGTGACGGGGAACGAGCGTGAGATCAAGAATCATGGAGATCCCACGGTGTCGCCCTCCGGCCCCTTCCTGTCTCTGGAGCCAAGATGCCCTCACCTCGCCGGGGTTGCACTTGGCCAGAGGAGGTTTGCTGGGCGCCCTCCCCAGGAGCAGTGCTGCAGGGTCACTGGGCGGAAGGGACTCTATCTTGGTAGAATTCGGGGGCGGGAACTAGGAAAGGGGGCGGGGTCATCCTGGCAAACGTCTTTCCTTTTTCGTGAGTACAGAGAACCAGGATTTTTTATTATTATTATAATTATTATTATTAATGAGAAGAGGAAACCTAGCACTGGCAGAGGGGGCCTTCTCTGCTCTCATCTTTCAGGTTTTACTCCTGGCACTGGCTGTGATACTTGGAATTTTGAGGTTCAGGGAATTCAGAGAATTTGGTCGTACAGTGTATTGGGAGAAAGGGAAAATTTCTGGGTGACAGATCACTCCAGCTGACATGTTTCTAGAAGTGGGTGGGGGGATTTGATTGAGAAAGTCTTGGGCTCTTGCAGTGATGGTGGGATAGATTCTTTTCGTGGCTGCACTTCTATTAACAGTTCTCTCCCCTGAAAGGACAGATTGTGGTAAAGAAATGAAAATAATTGGAAGTGAGAAGTCAAAAGATAGAATTAGAAAACGTTGAATTTCCAAATAATTCCGAGGTGTGGCTTTTCCAGCGTCTTTTCCCCCTGAGACCATCCCTCCCACCTCCTGCTTTGCAATAGCAGTTTAATGAACAGTCTGTGAAACAAATCTTAAGCACGAACACACACGTGGAAAACTACGCTCTGAGGTTAAAGCAACTTCTAATTTGTGGAAAAAGGATTAAATATTTCTGTTTTCTGAAGAGTTATTTTGTATTTTGTTTTCTATTAAAATGTATTTAGTTTCAAAAAACAAAAAGCGTTGGCATCTCTTTTAAAATGAGGACAGGCGGGAGTGTGGGCTGTTCTGGGGACACAGCTCAGCTTTCTGCAAGGTGGTAGCCCGGACTCCCCGGGGAGCTGCTCTCCTGTCTCTTGTATTCTGTCCAGCTTGCTTCAAATCATTCCTCTTTGCATTCACGTGGATTATTGATAGCATACAATACTTTTTATATATCCAAACTTGCCAGTTGCTCGCCAGAGACAACATACATATTTCTCTCTAGAGTTTTTTGGTGAGATCCTACTTCAGTTTTCTTTAAAGACCCCATTGTAAAATCTCTGAGGGGCATAAGGATGGCGTCATTTAATTAACTCAGACCATTTATTGAACCATTCCAGATAAAGGACTCATTCAAAGATTTAAATGATGCAAGAATTTTTTAAATGTACTTTTAAAACATAATTTTCTGGCAAGGACACCAAGATGTATCACGAAATTAAATGGGAAGACTAGAATTCTAGGCCAAAAAATTTTTTTTACTTGAGCCTAAGATCCTAATTAACAGGAAATGTTTCTTATTCATAAAAATCCATATATTTGAGATATTGTAAGAAAGAATATTTGGCAGCTTACCCAGGCAGCATCACCTTTCACGTGGTCTGCTGGTAGAGCCTAGAATTTAAGCACGTTCTCATCTGTAATAAGTGAACTCTTAAGTTAGATTGTGTGGTATATTGCTAGAAACAATGAAATGCCTAAATTGGGCTGAATCTTCCTCAGAGGTGAAAGTACCACCGATTTTAGGTTTCATGTTTTAATGGAAATTTCTCTGATTAAACACAGAAATGCATTAGGTTGGTCGGCCATCACACTACCAATCACATATCACTTTGTGATTTCAGTTCAAGCTCTCAATGATCTGCATATTTGGCCTTTTGTGAACTAATCTTAATGTGGGATATAGTTAAATTACCCCACATTACTTCCCCAAAATCTTAGAAATATTATAAGGGTGTGTATGTGTCCTTATGTCCACAACGGTGCATGAGAACATGGTCACACTTCAGGTCGCTTTCTTGTACTGCTTTATTTTATCTTCAGAGCAATCCTGTGAGGCAGACAGGACTAGAGATATTACCATTTTGTAGGTGAAATACCTAAAATACCCAGAAAAGCTGTAGTATCTATCTGTAGTCAACATGTCTCAAGTGTGTTATGTAGACGACCTATATTCCAAATCCTCAAGTTCTAGCTAGAGGGTATAGTCCTGAAGATAGAAGAACTTATTTTAAAAACACTCTCCAAAAAGGAAATATGAGTATAAATAAGTTATTTAGCAAGCATATGTATATAGCGCTTACTCTCTACCAGAAACTGCTCCAAGAGTTTTATGAAAAGTAACTTATCTCCATAACAACGCTGTGAGTTAAGTGCTGTTTTTAATCCCCATTTTACAGGTGAGGAATCTGAGGCACTGATGGATTAAGTCACTTGCCAAGCGTCATCAATTACAGCTAGTAACTGATGAAGCCAGAGTTTGAAGTGGGCAATCTGGCTCAGGGTCCATGCTTCATCCATGCTGTTGTCTCCCTTCATTCCCACAGAACCAGGTAAAGAGTGACCTGAGGTCTCTAGTAACAGTGTTCCTGGTAGTATTTAGACGACTCATGCTTCCCTTTGCCAGATAAATCAGTAGAAACAGCAGGATCAGGAACTGCTAGTAAGAAAAAACTTAATATATAGCTAAAAGAAACCGCAGAATATTCACTTATTTTGAAGCACAATGGTAAATCTCCGCAATGTGTTTAAGGTGGGGGACGGGGGGGCAGCTGAAATTTCTTAGACTGACAGGCTCAGAAAATCTGATGGTAATTTAGCAATATAGACTAGCCAAAAGAGAAAATTAGGATAAAGAAAAGTAATGTAAGACATAAAACAGGAAACAATTGAAAGCTTTTATGTTCAAGATCCAGCTTCTGAGGGTATCCGTGATTCCTAGTTTTTCATTTTATTCCTGTATTTAAAATGTCTTGGTTGTATTAAAAAAAAACACAAAAACCTGTTGCATATGTAGGCTTCTGATTTTGCTATTGCCCAGATTGGTATTAAGTACATGGATTAAAAGATTAGTCTGTACTTCAACTTGTCTTTCAGTTGCATGTTTTAGAGAAGTGTCCATTATATCTATGCCCAGCCCACACCAAAACTTCATATTATTGCCACCTGCATAGTAGCCAAGTGACTCAAACTGCTTTGTGGGGAGCAGAAAGTCTTCACTGAGGAGCTTAAGGAATGCAAACGCTCCCTGTCAATTTCACGCATTGAAGGACACTTAAATACTCTCCTATGATTGACTGAAATTAAAAAAAAATTTTTTTATGTTGATATGTGAGTGTCTGTTACAATTACATATCATGTTAGTGGGTGGAAATACAGTGGTAAGCAAAACTGATACAGTCCCTGGCTTGACTTTAGAGAGGGAGGCAGATATTGATCAAATGATGCCATAAATATATACATATATGATTTCAGTCTGTAATTAAGCCGAGGCCTGCAGGATAGTTGAGAGTTATCCAGGCAGAGTCAGGAGAGAACCAGGCACACTCAGGGAAGTCCAGTGGGGCAGGTAAGGAATGCCACAGCGTGACATGAGCTTGGGTAACTGGCATGGCGTCAGGCACCAACAGGAGTTTGGGATGGAAGCCACTGAAGGGTGTAGAACAGGGAAAGGATGCAGCCTGGTTTCCACCTTAATATTGCTGGCAACAGGAAGGCATACAGACACATGTTTACAACTGGAACTCACTTCAACGTCAGGATAACTAGGCATCGATTACTGAACCCAGGCTGCCAGGCACTGTGGGGCACAGCTGAGTGGTGGAAGCCAGCTGCCCAGCTGAGTGGCCCCCAGGGCAGTGAACTGAGAACAGCCTCCAGCCCAGAGCCGGTGAGGACCTAATTCTGCCAAAGGCCACGTGGTTGAGCTTGGGTGCAGACCCTGCCTGGCTGAGCCTCAGATAAGACCGCTCCTGACCAACCTGGAAGCAGAGGCATTCAGTAAGTGCCCAGATCCCCAGCTCACACTGGGGTGAAAGAATTACTGATTTAAAAAGAAATCACTAGCAGCTGGAAGGAACACAGAGTGGGGGCAGGGTGGTGGGCAGTTAGGGTCATTGCAGTCGTGCAGGGGAGAGAGGTGGGCGGCGTGGGCCAGAGTGGCTACAGTGGGCAAGGAGAGAAGGGGACAAATCCAGTGAGTATTTCAGAGCTGGATTTGGCTGGACTTTGTCCTGGGTTGCATGGGAGAAAAGAAGAAAGGAATAATGGATGACCCCAATGTTTCTGGCAAGAGCGATTTCATAGCTGGTGTTGCCACTTACTGTGATGAAAATACTAGAGGAAGAGGAGGTTGGGGAGGAGATAAAGAGTTCACTTTTGGGCCTTTTAAGTTTGAGGTGATTATGAGAGAACCAACTGAAGACGTCAGACTGGCCTTTAGAGAGGGACAGACGCCTGGCGCTCAGGAGACATCGGGCCTCGACCTGCTGATTCTGGAGCTGTCTTCATTACAGTGCTTTCTGCCACGCGGGACAGAAATAGGACTCCAGGTGGCTTTAAAAATAACGAATCTTATTGGTTCACATAATGAAGTCTAAAGGTCTGGTGGGTCTCCTGTGCAGAGCGATACCAACAGCAACGAGGGCCAGACATTCATGTCCAGTGGGAATGTGACCTTACTTTCCATTCCTTGCTCTTAAGAACAAGGAAAAGAATTTCTGGAAGCACCATCAAACCTCTCCAATTTGGATTAGGCCTGCTAATCACTGAATCAGTCCCTGACAGGGCAAGAATCCTTGGCATATAGTTGGAATTGGAAACCTTGCAAATAGATGAGATGAC